TAGAAGGAGATCTTAGAAATTTAATATAATTGTGTCCTTCCTTCCTAGAACAGGCCTTTCTCAGCATGTTATTATAATATGTTTGTAATGCAGTGGTTTAAGTAATGCAAACTGAGGCCAAAGTAAGGGTTGACTCTAAATGTTGTAATATAAACTTGGTTTTGAAGCATCTATTCCATTTCATTGTGTGCTCACCAGTGCTCAAAATCTAACAACTTGAGTCTTCATCGTTAATGTGAACCAGAAAAGGTAAAGCTAAAGGGGCATAATTAGATGTTAAATTTAGTAAGTTTTTTCTGACGATCTGAATTCAAACATTTAGAATAAAAGGAAGGTTTTTCTGACGAGAAATGTGTATTGTAGTGGAAGAAGGTTACACTTTTTTTGTACCTCTTGTACCACAAAGGATGAGCATTCCAGCAAAAGGTTGAATTAAAAATTGTCTTTGTACTTTTTCAGACTGTAGTAAGCTTTTTGCTTAAGTAAGTTTAAACTCCTTATTTTTAGTAGCTGGAGAAACAAGGCTTCTTTTTGATACATAAATATAATTTTTGCAGCTGTTTAATTTTCAGTCTATATGTTGGAGTGAAATGAAGCCTTGTGGGCTGTAGACATTAAAAAAATGAACAGAAAATCACCGAAGAGTTGGACTCTTAATATCACTGATCTTTCATGATGAGATCAGAATCTTACCTGATCAGCGTTCAGAAAACAGAGTTAGATAAATACCTTACAAATGACCCTTAACAGAAGCCTGGATTTTCCAGAAAATGCTGCAGCCACTCCAGCCCAGAGAAATGAAGTGTTGTTTTGGAAGAGGCAATTCAGGCAACCACTGAGGACTCTGGAGCTGGTGACAGAAGCAGAGATTAAGCTTGACAGTATCATGAAACACGAGAGCATCTCTTGCATGCAGTGCTATTTTTTGAGGCAAAGTTCTTGTTTTGCTTCTCTGCTTTTTCTCCTTTTGCTTTATACATTTGTACCTTACTGAAATGTTTAGTCCTCCCAGTTTGTCCTGATTTGCCTTGATCCTCTAGAGGTCCCACCTGTCCTGTGCTGTTGCTCTGTCCTAGAAAATAATGTTCTGCTTATTCAGAGGAATGTATTTTAACTTACTTCACATCACCAGGAAATTCAAATTTTTCTATGCAATCTCATGTGATAAAAATATGTTTTGCCTCTCTACAAATTTCTGTTGGCATTTCTTTGTAAGTTGCTAACTAAGTAGTACAAATGAAAGGTGTATTATACCCAAAGAGTCTGTAATTGTTCTGGCAGTTCCTCTTAGGATTGAAAGTACCCAGTCATTTGGAAAATGTTAGCATAGCTGTCATTTATAACCTGAAAATGTAAGGTTATGGTACCACACAGAATATGTTATTTCAGTGCAGTACTAAGAAATAGATGTATTTATTCCAGCCCATACAGAGTTTGAAATTTGACTTGGAATTTAAGGAACTTTCCTTCCCCTCAAAAAAAAAAAAAAAATCCTACTAAACTACTTGGTCTTTGCTAAACAGCATTAGATTTTTAACTGCTTATACCATTGACAATAAGGTTAGCTAACATGAGTCATGTTTTTAACTGCCCCCAGGATTTCTGTGTGCCGCTTCAAAATTTTATTAAAAATGTTTTTCCCAAAAGAAGCACCAAAGAGCTGACAATTTTAAGTCTCTGTATCACTGTGACAGCAAAATTGTGAAAGTTAAACTGGCAGGAAAGAACCAAGCAAACTGATGGTGAAATGCCTGCTTAAGTGATGCAAAATGCTCCCTTTTTTTCTGTACTTAAAGGTACAATATAAATTGAAGCTTTTTGTTAATGACTTACATGTAAAAAGCAATTTCACTGTCCAAAGTACTGTTTGAGCATTCATACTCTTTCAGCATTTCAGATTAAACACAGTAAAGGCTTGTAAACCTCCCAAAATACTGGCTTGTACTGTACTATAAAAAATTTGCATAGAAACAAATCCTTGTTCTGTTTATGGCATTAAAAAATAATTCTCTATATTTGAATTAGGAAGTGTTAAAAAAAAATATCTCTTCTGTGCCTCTTTAGCAACAGGTTTAGATCTTTGACTTTATATAAAAAAGTTGTTTTCTGGTGATTTTTTTAATTTGGTTTTGGTTTTGTTCTTATTGTAAGTTTTGGTAAGAGACAAAGGTTGAAATTATCAGCTGAATGCATATTCAACCAGACTGGGTCATACTGAGATTCTGTCTTCTGTGTGACAGAATGAGACAATCATATTTAGTGAATTCATTGAAGAAATTTATATTCTTGATTTTTAACCTTGTTCACTAAGTGGGGATTCTAGAAAAATGTTATAAATACACTTGTATTCCAGTTTTCATAGTTTTATTCTCATTTTTAAGACTCTTACTGCACTGTTCACTAACATTTTAAATTTACAGGGGACAAAAATAATCAACTAACAAAATTTGGGGTGATAAAGACCTAATTTTGAAGTTTAATTCGTAACACTTTAAACCAAGACTACAACACTTGTAACATTCCCACTATTCAGAGTTCATGGATACCCAGGGTATATACCTTGTCTGTCTAGGGTACATTTTCAATTGCATATATAAATCTAGGTTCACTTTCCTCTTGCAATAAATTGTGTTGAAAAGGTATTTTAAGTTTCACTTGATTCAGTTAGTTTGCAAAAACCTGATTTCTGCTCAGTTTCCTGTCGGTGATGTATGTCTGGACTGGATATCTGGAGGATAACTTTTCATTTTGAGACATGGCCACCAACAGTGCAGTGATGGATACTGGCTTCTTGTAGCAGGGCTGAGGAATGGATTTGGAAATCTCCCCCTACTGTCAAATCCCCTCCTGCTTTCCCCCTCACCCCCCACCATGTAGTCAGATTTTACTTTAAAATCCATTTTGACAAATCACTCTGCTGGGAAGGATTCCAAGAAAGAAATACTTCACAGTTTCTTTAAAATCCCCTTTAAGATCTTGCTCTGTGTTGCCCAAAGGAGGTGAGGAAAGCTTAATCTGTTTATCAGGAGGCATCTCCAAAATCCTCTGAGTTAATATGTGCAGAGCAGGATTGTCCTGGAGAGATAAATGTAATAACTGTAATTAGTTCTTGTTGTCTCTGCTATAACTTAGAGGTGTTTAAAAGGCTCACAGTGATCTTTTGTTTGAACTTCAAACATGAGTTTAGGAGTGACCAGAGGTGATACCCATATTCCCTTACTCCTGAGAAACCCTATCCCTGTGAGAAAGGCTTTTGCTTTAAAATTCTGTCCGAGTTTGGGGAAAAAAATGTCTCGGAGAGTCATTATGCAGATAAACAAGGGATATGTAAACCAGGATGATGATGTTAATTAAAAACTATGTCAGTCTCCACTTTGTATGTCAGTATTTGTCAAACACACAAGGAATACTTTACCCACTTATTCCCAATTGTTTTGGCAATACAGGCTACAGGACTTCCTTTTGTTCCTTTTTTCCTCTCTAGAAATTGAATGAGATTCTTTTACTTCTGTGTTGTATTTGTGTCCAGGTTTTCATGTCAGAACCTTTTAATGGTGGTATTCACTGCTTCTGACTAAACATTTGGACTCAGGGATTTAAAAACCAAGAGATTCCATTTACCAGGTGCAAGATGCAGCATTTGGTAAAGTGTTTTAAATTCAGATAGACAGATCCAAGCACTCAGGGTTGTAGTGGAAAAAAAAGTCTTGGGTCTTAATAAAAGGTTATTAAATGTTGTGGTTTGACTGCAGTAGCCTTGACAATTAGTGGACAGAATATTTTAAAATAAATGAAAAATCAATACCAACACCCCATCCCCCCCAAAAAAAAACCCCAAAACTCAAAGCCAAACCCAAACAACAAAGGAAAAAAAAAATCTACGGTTGCAAGGTTCTTTTTGATTCTGCATAGCATAGTTAAAAATTTACTGAAGAGCTCATTCTGGTAAGGGATTTAAAAAAGGAAAAAATGCATATGATGTAAATGCTTTACTATAAGGTTTTTTTGAACTTATTTCCAGAGAAATGCAAGTTTTATTTAGACACAGTTTTATAACAATTTTAAGAAAAACACCAGAAATAAACTCAAAATACTTTAAATTGTGATCCTTGAAATAATATAAGGATACTATATGTTGTTTACATCAGTAAAATACTAAATAATTATAAAAATAAATAAGCACATATAAAAATCTACCTCTGAAGCATATATATTTACCAAAGTACAATAAAAATTAAATATACAAAAATAGCAGGTTATAACATTTGAAATATTCCTTAAACAGTCTGTGAAGGCCTGCTGGAGAAATGTTGAAAGACAACATTTATAAAGAACAACTGTACAAGCCAAGTATTTACAGGCACTGGGATGGTGTCTGTCAGTGTTCAACTTGTGATCCTGTCTAATCTTGCAGTGCTAATTAGGGAAAAATTAGCACCTTATGGATAGAGATTCTTTTGAAGAGCAATTTGTTTTGCAGGAAGAATAAATGGATTATTTGTTGGTGCTTTTCCTTAAGAGTCCCAATTAAAATATTTCCCAAATGGTGAAGGATTGCTGTCTTTCATCATAGGTTACTTGGTATGGACTGTCTCACTTCATGTCTTACAGCCAGTGTAGACATACCAAAATCATATGCTAGAGACATAATAAATAATAATAACTGCCTCCAAATCTTGAGCATTTAGGGTTATTTAAAATTTATTATTTTTACAAGATTTTTTGTTATTCACTGTGTATAGTCCATAAGCTTTTCTTCCCACTCTGACTTGCCCAGTTATACCTGCCAGATCCATAAAGAACTTGATAAGTGGGAGGAAAGAAACTCATCCTGCTCATACAGGATCGAGTTACAAGCATTGTGCCTTAGAGGAGGAAATACCTTCCACAGTGAATGTCTTTTGTAAAGCGAATTGATATGAGAGAGAACTTTCTTTGAATTATTGTAGCTTTGTTTCAGTCTTGAGTAGTTTTTTAACACAGTGTATATTTTCTTTCAGAAAACTGAGAAGTGGGAGAGTGAGAAGTCTGAGGAAGATATGGAAGAGTATATCTGGGAAAACAGTCGCTCTCAGAAAAATGCCTTGGACACACTGCTTCGAATAAAAGCCTCAGAGAATGTCAGTAATGTCTCTAAGGAAGAGCTGCTTGGATCTGAAGTGGTTAAGAATTACAGAAACTCTGTAATTGCACTTAAAAATGAAGGTGAAACAGAAAGTAACATGTCTCAGTATAAGGAATCTGTGAAAAAGCTGTTGAATATACAAGCATGAAAGCAGACTCTGCAGATACACCTGATCATTATAGAAATATTAAGCTACTATTAATATTTCTTAGTGACATGGATATATAATTATTCAGAACCTTAACCAAAAGTGTGAAACTTGATGTTGATAATCACAGTAGTAATCAGTTTTCTCTTTAGTACTCAATTTTTTTTGTAAGCATAGTTGTCCTGTCCACGAATCTTGTTCTTTGAATAAAGTATGTTTGGATTCATATTGATAACTTGGACATTTTATTCCGTGTTTGCTTAGCATGGGAGATCCTGTTTCAGTCCTCTGCTTAATCACACTTTGATTTCTCACAGAACTTTTTAAGGCATATAACGTAGAGCAACAATGTCAAAACTTAAGCTCCCAGTTCCATTAATTAAAAGTCTGAAAGTTAAGAACTCTAAACTTTCGAAATGCTTTTCAAATGTCACTCAGATTTTGCTCTATCTTTACTCCCTATCTGTAAAATAAAGATAATGTGTCTAAGCAGTTTTAACTTTTGGAGAGGTGTTGAAGCACATGGGAGAGTGTGAGGTACTCAGCTGTCACCATGAGGGCTAACAAATACCCTAAGGAAAAATGCCTGTCTCTAAAATGATGGAATAAAATGAGGTAGAAAATGGGATGGTAGTGGGAATGTGAACTAGCAGTTGTTGAGAAAATTCCAAAGCACATGGGAAAGAAGAATGATGAGAGTTGCTAAAAGTACGAGCTGGTGAGTAGTGAGGTATGTAGCTAAATAGGAATGGACTCAGTCTTGGTGCCCTGAGGCCTGCTGAGTTCTCTCTTGAATCTACCCAGGCTTTTCAAGGGGAAAAAAAAATGGTTTTAGCATCCAGCTTACTGGTATGCAGCACAGAGAGAGAAACTATATGGATGTTTAGCTTATATTGGGTAATTTGTATTTGAAAGGCATTGATTTGAAACACTGGAATCACAGGCAACTTTTATTGCCTTCTCACAGCAAAAAACCAAAAGCAAAACAAAATCCCCACGTAAAAATAGCAGCTTTCAGGACATAAGTAACTCTTGCTTTTATTGTACCTTCCTGGCTTACTGAGATTTCAGCTTAGAAAGTCATTCTCTGGAAGGGGCAGAGGGAGTTAAGGATTCTGCATACCTATGAAAGAACCACACATGTGGCCCTGCCAGCAGCTCGCTGAGAGAGAACAGTGTAAGAATAAGGACATAGAAAAGTGAAGGGAATTGATTCCTGCAGTGTTCTCTGTGGCTTGACTCTCTCGCTGCTAGGATTTCTCACTGTCTGTTTTGTGTTTACATACAGCCACAGAGTGCATGTATTCCCACTTCCAAAACACTGTCAGTTTTGGAAGGATTGTTTTGTCGGTTTGGAAGGTCAAGATTGTTTTCGTATGGTAGGAGGCTGAGTTTAATGCAGTTTTTTACTTCCTATGAGAATTTGCCAGAGCTGTAGCTAAGACTGAAAATGCTTGTCCTGTAATCCCAGTTTTGCACTTAGTTATTTAGTGGTCCTTCCTATTAGATTTGTATTAATGTGAAGCTTTAGCAGAAGCTTGATATGGGGGAAATTTCAGCTGTTACCAGGTTGTTCCTTTGTTCAGGGATAAGGAGGGCAATGTTTAAAATTCTCATTTGAAATAGTACATCTGTGTGATTCCAAATCTTTTTTGAACAGCCATGAAACCAAAATTACTGAGGAAGTAACTGCACTTTGACTCAGAGAGTGGTATGGGTGGTGCCTGGAGTTGTGCCTGGCTCTATTCCAAAGGCAGTTCTGTTCTAGTATGTACACAAGGGAAATTTGTTTCCTTAATTAGCTTTGTCAGTGCTTGCAGAAGGACTGGCATATGAGCAAGTGTATGTAGCAACTTCTGTTTTGCATGTCTTGTACAAGATTGTCAAGAGTAATGCCCTTAAGTGTTTTAGAAAACCTCATAAGCTTGTCTCCATAAAGTTGTCCTTTACTGCTCAGGACATATGAGCACCTGATAAAATCCTCTCTGTGGCAGAGGACAACTCAATTTTCCTTTGCTCTTTGTAGACTTTGAATGGACCTAAGTAGAACTCTGGAAGTCATAGTTAAAATAACAATTTGATGTTACTAATTCTGCTATCTGGTAGAAAGAAGAGCAAGGGAAACTGATTTTTTATTTGGTTGTATCATAGCTAATTCATGGAAAACTTAAAATTCACAGGCTCCTACAGCTCTGTCTGAAGATTTCAAGCCTCCCTTATGTACATTCTCTAAATGTTTCAATACAGGCAGGATAAAAGGTGATTGTCTCCTGAGCACCAGGACAGTCAAATGTCTCTGCTAACAACAGATGATGCCTACGGGCCAAGAACAATGTTGGGAATAATTCATTGTGTTCCTAACCAGATCCAACAGTTCCCATCAGAAGCTGAATGTCAAGGATACTCATTTTCCAGTAGTATCTGGCTATAGAACACCTTGCCAGCTGGCCTTGGAAATCTGCAACCTTGGTTTTCAATGGTACTTCCTCTCCTTGCTAAGAAACCTGTCAGGAAAACTAGAAACCTTTATAATCCTGTAAGTGCCCAATCAAGCTTCTAGAATCAAAGGCAATATAAAATTCAGACTAACACTTGTGATTTTTACTGATGGTTTATATGTTACAGGACAGCCCGTGTAGTGCACTGGACTGGATCAAAGGCAGCCTGGATGCTATTTTGAGCTCTTTCTCATCTTGGAAGTTTCTCTCTGGTTCTGTCCTTCTCCCTCTGAGCTGTTTGTGTTTGAAGGTGACAGCATTTCTCTGTAATTAATGTAGAATACCTGGAGCACTGGGATCTTAACTCCAGTGGGAGTCTCAGTGATGTATAATGTAGCACATGTTTTTATGAAGTAAATGACACATCTCTATTTTCCCGCTGAAATTTAAAACCTGTGAAGAGTTAGAGATTAATAGACTTCCACGTTAAAACACCTCTACAGGACAATAATAAATCCATCCTTAGCAATGGTCACTTACTAACATATCATGTACATTATAATACAAACTAATGACTAAGGTGTGCATCCCTCTGCACGTACCTGTGTGAATGGAATACTAGTAATGCTTAGTTTCACTGGTGCTCTTGAGGAGACTAATCTTTCTTTTACCTCCCATATAAACATTCCAAAGAGTGGACACTTTTACCCTGTTTTCAGGCATAGCATTGCTAAGTAAAGGATAAAGGGACGGTTACCTAAAAAGGGATGTGCTGTCTGGACAAACCATCTTCTTGCTTTCCCTCATACCTAAAATGTATGTATTTATTTTCTTGTGACTCTCTTAGTCTGTAATAAAAGAATTCTGCTATTGTGCTTCATATAACCCTTTTCCTGCCTATTTTCTTCCCTATACGACAACAAACCAAGAAGGTTCTCCAGAACATGATCTTACTTCAGTCATTCCATCCTGGCCCAAAAGCATTTGTGCATATATTTTCACTTTGCCTCATTTTCTTTTTCTGGTGAGTTCTGAAGTCCTAGTTACGTTATATGACTCTACAGAACACTATATTGAGGGTAAGCATTAAAGGAACATCAAGGTGCTGTTAAATGCACTATACAGTCACTAATCTGGAGATGAAAAAACCATAGAATGACTGTGACTTGAGGCAGTCAGCACAGCTCATCAATTATCAGATAAAAGGCACTTTTCTAAGAGTAAAGGGAGGTGAAAAACCACCTTTTTGAAAGAAGATACTATACTACCTCTGACTTATTTCTGTCAAAACTAATGCCTCCTTGCAGAGGTTCGTGTTTCTAGCATGTTAGTGTGTCCTGTCTAGGGAAAAGACATATGTGCTAGTCTTTGCATTTGTAGGAATGTGTAAGAATAGCAGGTTTTCACTTTTTTTCAGGAGTTGATTTCCTTTTTTTTTTCCTTTTTTAAATTTAACAGTAGTGTCCATCCCTTAGGACTAGCTTTTCTTCTTTTTTTTTTTTTTTTTTGAATCAAGCTGCTATGGAGGGTCATTCATAGGATGGAGGAGTTAGACAAGCTGGCAGAGGCCAAGCACCATTGAGTTTGCAGTCTGCAGGCTGTCAGCAGATGCTCAGGTAGCTTACAGTTTAGATGTAAGTTGGTTTTAAAGTGTGTTTTCCTTGGTTACATGATTTTAAAAATTATGAGGAGAAAAATAATTTAAAAAGCACTTTCATTGCAAATTGGTGTGACAGTGCTCGCTGAAGTGTGTTGGGGGAGAACTGTATGACAAAACACGCTTGTCATCAGTACTGAGATGAGAAGTACCACAACTTGACATGGAGCACGTGATTAATCAGTTTATTTAATGTATTTGATCAGATTTGTGATCTGTGAATGTGGTAGAGGTCAAAACATGAACTTTGCAAAGCTCTAATTTCTGGTGAAGACTTTATAAATGGAGTTAAGCCTGCTTATGTCATTAACAGAAGGGTGGCTTGCTGAGCCACGACCTTTTCCTTCAGAATTGGAGAGGGAATTTGAAGTAGAGCACTGTACAAAGAAAATCCTGAGCCACACAGTCTGCAGCTCCTGGTCTAAAAAGGAGCCTATTGATGATCTCAGTGTAAGATGTGGAGAAAGGACACAAAGCACATCCCAGGCATCTACAGCTGGAGGAACCGAGTTCCTCCTCTGATGCACCTGTGCCTTTGTTTCCTAATGAAAGGAGTCACCCCTGAGACTTTTACATTTTGGGGTCAGGTCCATGAAGATTACCCTATGATGATAAACATTCTGTATTTACAATATCACCACATTCATCCTTTGATAAAATATAGAGTATTTTGGTTGCTTCCTCCTAGCTCCTTTCCTTTTGGTGTCAAAAAACTAGAAAAGAATACCTGTCAGCTGTAACTCAGAAGAGTCCTTGGGATCTCATCATTCTTAGCTGAATTTTTTTGTGATATTTAGACTAGATTCAGCTGCATTATGAATTAGGAAAGTACAATTCGATAATAAAAGGCTGTTCAAATTTAAAGTACATCATGAAGTGGTCACACCTATAGAGTTTTTATCACTTCATACATGAGCATAGGACTGCCCTTAAAAACAAATCATACCTAATTCTAAGTTTTCTAGCTGAAATAGAAGAATTTTCTTTTGTGTTATTTCAACTGATTAAATAACACTACCCTTCTAAAATGTTCTTATCCTGTGTCAGTCTCTCTTCTATTACATACAAATTAGCATATGATGTCAATAAAATACTATAAAAAAGGGGGTTTATAAACTCCAGTTTTCTAAGTTCCAGTGCTGATCAATGTGGACTAAAATATAATTTTAGAGAGGTCTTTTCTTCTGAAATCTGCTCAGCTGTAACTAGGTATTCATGTGGCCTTACAACCTCATCAGTTTAGTATTTGAACACTGCATTAATCTTACTAATTAAATAATATTCTGACACATAGATGTGCTAATAGGTACAGCTGCAGTGAACCTGCTCTCTTAAATTAGGGAAAGTGTTACACTGTTTGTTAGACATCACTTGGCATCAGATTATGAACCAAACCATGCTTGAACACCTCTGTGCACACAGTGGGAGCTATGAGTGTGTACTTCTTAGCTAAAGAGGCAGGGGAATTGTGTTTCATCTGACAAGAATTAAATTATAACTGAAATATTATGAAAAAAATATCATTGCTTCTGTAAAAGAAATAAAGTGGTATATAGGATGCATTTTTAAAAGCCTATTTGTTCCATAGAAAGGATGCTGACAAGTGTTTTACAAATTACTTTTGACAGTAGTATATTTTATGAATTGTCTTGACATTTTTGTTCTTCTCCTTATGGGCTTATACTGACCTCTCCTGCTGCTGCAGCGCCCTGTCGTGAGAGCAACAGTGCAACAGCAAAGGCAGAGGAGAGAAGAGCAAAGAACAACAGGAATCAACCAGACTCCCAAAGCTGACACTTCCCAAGCAGGTGCCTCATTTTCCGAAGTAGAATTCCTACCACTGTAGCCTTTGGTTTCATTCAAGTGTTGCTTGCTGCTGTTCAGACGAGGAGGAGTGGGCATGTGGGATACTCCATTGGCAGACCTGGATGTCAGAGTTGAGTGCTCGGTCTTCTCGTCTGAGCTGGTGGCTTGCCTGGTGCTTACTGAAGTTGTGCTTGTCCTCTTAGCAAATTGGTCATCTGTTGGAAAAGTTTCTGCCCTGGAATAAGTAGTAACTTTGTTTTTTTGGACCATGAGGCTTGTGCTGGAGGTGTAAGTGTTTAATGTTAAGCCATGGCTCGTGGTAGAGGCTGGAGCTTGGAGCAGAGGAGAACTTGATGTGGCATTGTGGTGTTGGCATCTTTCCCCCTCGGTGGTCTTTGTGCTATTCTGCCTTTCGTATTCACTCAGTGAGGAGTGAATATTTGGCTCTTTGGATGTCAGTTTTTCAAAAATAAGAAGATCTGGATCAATCCCTACGAAATCATAACAATGTTAGTTTTGTGTGATAAGAGCTTGGTCTGCACACCCACAAAAGGACTACACGGAGACAGTGGCAGGTCAGGGAGCCCAAATAATACCCATCAGCACCTTTTGGACTGGAGGCTGTGGGACACCTCAAGGGATGCGAGGGAAGTGCATTTTGGGATTGCACAAGACTTATTATGGGATGCTTGGGGAAGGAACCAAAGGTGAGGAAAGGGTGGGATCTAGGTTACTGGGGGTAGGGAAATCCCAGAAAGCTCTGTGTGTGTGTGTGATAGTCTGCACCAGCAGCTGGAGGGAAGCTGCACCCCTGGGGCTTAAACATCAGGTGACAGCAACTGGGGAGACTGGGGTCCAGACTGGGCAGACTGAGCATCTCAGCCCATCTGCTGGGTAGGTTTGCATTTTATATATGTGTATATATATATTTTCACTGACAGATCTCCATCCTGTGAGCTAGAAAAAGCAGGATGAGGCTTTTGGTGCTACCTGTGGTTGTGTGCCTGCTTCATGTGTTTGGCTGTGTAACCCGTGTGCTCTTTGTGCATGTGCCTAATGAGAATAAATTTTCAGCCTTGCTACTGCTTGGATCTGGGGACATGGAGCAGTGGCAACCTCCACACTCAGTCTCTCAGACCTGGTAGGTATTTGCCCAAATATTGGGCCAACAGTATTGAGAAGTTACTCAAAGCATGAATCTTGAGAGCAGGCTGTATCTTTAAGGTTTTTTCTCACTGAGTGGAGAAAGGGGGGAAGTATTTTCAGCTGGAGGTACATAGTAAAGAAGGAAAAAAGTCTTAAGCATTTTTACTTCAGAAGCATGTTACTTCAGAACGTCTTCTAGCACAGCAGCTGACTTGGTATAATTTTAACATTTTCTCTAGTTGCTGTGTTTTCAGCCTTTATAAATGAAGTGCCTAATTACCTGTTGTGATGTTGTACAAAATGACATTAATTCCAGCCTTCAGGATGCAGCTTTCCAATGCTGGGCAAGACATGTGAAGGCAATTCCTATTCTCGTGGATGGCTCCATGGTAGAACACTGCTAGATTGCAGGAAACTACAATCCATAAAGAATAAAATTGAGCTTCTCAGAAGAATGACCATTGCATTTTGCACATTATTATGTTATTTAACATCAGAAGATCATTAATACTGGGCAGCTCTGGTCAGATCCTATGGGAAGAGAGAACCAAATACTGTGGGTCTCTCATTATCATGCAAACTAATTGAGCATACAGTCAAAAAAGTAGAACTACTTATAATTATATTCTTTTTTTACATCTGGACCAGAATAGCCACCTGTGTTCTAAATGTGTCTCTGATTAAATAATAACTGATTTAAAGTGTATCGTTGAAATGCCCTCTACTGTCTCTATTTTAGTTAAGATTGTAACAAATTTTTGCTTGACTATGTCAGAATATAAAAAGGAGATTCCAAGTTACCATTAATTATCTCTGTGAGGTATCCAGTACCTTGTTCTATGAGAAAAAGTTTGTTGTCCAAATAGGAAGAACATTGCTGAAATGTATTAAATTTTTATTTCCTCACATTATTTAAGACAGAATTTGATTCTTCCCAGGAATGCTGATGGCAGTTATGTCACTGTCAGATTGTCAAGGTCATATTTTTGCTCATAATTCAAAATTTCATCAAAATTTATATTGACTTTTTTAGTAACTGGTTCCTCGCTTTCATCCTCCATATCCAAAACCCTCTTCAAGTCTTGTGAGTTTTGAAAATTTAGGCACCACAGACATGCACTTCATGTATTCTCCTAAAATATACTCCTATAGCATACCAGTGCAGTGTGATACAAAGTACAGTATTGGGCTTAAAATAAACAATGATTTTTCTTATTTTTATTCTGAGTTTACAAGGCTAGGGAAAAAGGGTTGCCAGCTCAATAACTGCTATCAT